GGGTTAATCTGTGCTTTACACTAAACATAACACTGTGAAAGTCCACAAATACACACAGATAACGCTCTATCACTAAGAAACACATTTTCAACGAACAGAAATATTAAAGCAAAAATAAGAAGCACAACGTTTATGCAGTAACCGCAGATTTGCAGCAATATTTGGCAACATAACCCATGAGTGCCAACCTAAATGTCATTTTATCGGCCGATTCGGTTAAATGCCAACAGTGTTCTGTCTTTTTTTAACTAAGATTAAATAAAAAGGAGCAGCTTGAAACGAATTTTAATTTCTTAAGGCCGTTTTACAGCTTGCAATTATATCTGCAATATGCAAGAAACTTGAACGAGGGCATGCGCAGAAGTGAGTCAGCTGATTGGTTTCTGCAAGATTCTTGAAACTTGAATGGCATTGCATGCAATCGGTTTGGTGCCATTTTTGTTGAAGGTTTTCGTGCAAGCTGGGGAATTTTTAGCAATTATGATGCCTAAAGTTGCTATTGCTTTCTTCTTTTCATACCAACTTAAAATCATTTTTTTTATTTTTGGATAATGCAAACATCAACAACACAACATTAAAAACAAAAAAGTATGGTAAAGGTTAGAGAAGGAAACAAGTCAAATTGCAAGGTGTAAAACGAAGTGCAAGAAATCTTGAATGCCATTCAAGTTTTCTTGCGAGCTGTAAAACGGCCTTTACAAACTGCAATTGGCAATAATTTGGACGTCATTGATCACGTGCATACACTATTTAAATAATTTCACTTATAAAACTTGTCTAAACGATGCCAAACCAAAATTTGTCAAAACAATGCCCGTATTGTCGAAGTGACTGGCGCACAGAACATATCACCTCTAGAAAAGTATCTGCAATGTTATGTACCGGTTATGAATTACAGTGCCATCGTTGACTGAAAACCCAACTAATCGAGCATTCTTGACAAAAAGGCGAATTGATTTTTTTCATTAATTTTTATTATTTTTAAATAATTTTTAATGTTCAACTGCATTTGGCATGCTGACTCCGTTTAGCTCTTTTCGCCTCATTTTTTTGAAAACTATGACTGGCAGGAAGTTTCCGATGTCGAACATAGTGCAAAAAGAGTAAGTAAGTTAGCAAGAGACACGCAGCTATAGGTAGATCGCAAAGTAAATAGGAACAATAAATACAAATACGAACGAAACGAAACAAACGAGTAAATACAAAAAAATACGAACAAAAATTAGGGTTTTTTTCAACCAAAACTTCTGTGGACTGGTGTACCAGCACCGCGACGACCGACGTGAGAGATGCAGTGACGTCATCGCGTGTTTCAAATTTGGAGTACTTTGATAATTTAAATATGAACAAGGGCTCAGAAAATTATGAAATTTTGCATAACTAAACTCAACACGCTCTTTTAGAATATGTAATAAAAAAAATATGCTGTACGAGCCTATTGAACGGAAAAGTGAATGTAGGTACCTACATTTATTCACAGAATGTGTATTGGTAGGTAAACCAATTATTATTTTATTATAAAAATACGAACACATTTTTCGCCGTTTTTATTTTTAAGTGTTCCATTCCCTACGCTTCGACAACTGTAGCAGATTTGGTACCGAAACGTCAGCACAAAGTCCAGAAGTCATCCGAGCCTAACCAAGTATTATTTTAATGAAATATAACTCGATTCGAATTTCGAGTATTTTATTTCATAAAAATAATTTGATAGGTAAAATAGTCTCTAATCAGAAAGCTTGTACAGGGTATTTGATTATATTTGGACCCATACCTACAGCCTTTACTATTTAAGATAGAAAGCAATTTTAAATATAAAACTTGACAGTTTTTTTTTTATATTTTCTTTTAACGTTATCAGAAAAAACAAAATTGCATCGGAAAATATCTTTCATTTTATCGCAAAATATACAGGGTGTTCCATTAAAAAAAGTCGAAGTTGTCTACATTTCTCCACTTTCCGATGCGATTTTGTTTTTTCAGATAACGTTAAAAGAAAATACAGAAAAAACTGTCAAGTTTTGTATTTAAAATGTTTTTCTATCTTAAATAGTAAAGGCTGTAGGTATGGGTCCAAATATAATCAAATACCCTGTACTAATTCGTATCAAGATCCGTAAACTTCTGGTATAGCAATTATATTTGAGGTGAAAGTCCCAAACGTACTAAATTTATTAAAAAAACTGAGTATCAATTCGTACACTTCTTAATACAGGGTAGCAGTGGCGGATCCAGAGGTGCTTTCCGGGGGGGGGGGGGCACTTAATCTGAAAACGTGGTCACCTAGTGGCTGCTGGAGGCTAATCGCCGAAGGCGAAAAATTTTATGGCGCCGCGCTTCTTTTTTGGGTCCTTTAACGATATTTAATATCATTATTTGGTTCTACAGGGTCATTTTTTATATTTTCCCACCCCCATAACTTTTTTGTGCCACTGTGTATAAAAAAAAATGTGAATAGGAAAAGTGTATAGGTTGAAAAATGGTTTTCAGAAAACATAGTTTTGTTCATACAGGGTGTTGCAGAAAGTTTAAAAAACAAAAAAAAAATATGTTTTTTATGGGACACCCTGTATATATTAAGTATTGAATATTCGGATTCTACGTACCTAAAGCTCTTAGCAGATTTCATGTGATATACACTATACCTAAGTTCAATTGTTTTGGAAAGATTGACAGTTGAAATTTGACTTTTTTTGCAACTTTGGCTGTAAAATCTAAACAGTTAATTTTACAACACAACCGATTTCACATTCACGTCTTAGATTTTCATAAACTTTGAATTTAATCCATGATTAAAAATTTCAATTAAATTCAATCTCCGGTTAAAGTCAACGTTGGTGTCAAAAGATAGCTTGTTTTTTAAACTTTCTGTGACACCCTGTATGAACAAAACTATGTTTTCTGAGAACTATTTTCCAAGCTGCATCATTCACCAAAATCAAGAGCCGCCATCAAATTACAACTGAAATAAGGCAGTCAGAATCACCCAATCAGTTGAAATAATCTAAAAGCTTGAGAAAAAATGTTACTATCCAAAAGAATACAGGGTGTCCGGAAAATAGCGTAAAAGCTCTCCACCACGTGGTAGGGGATTCGTCAAGTAACCCTGGAAAAATAATTAAAAAAATCCTCCTCAACCATTCTTGGAAATATGAAGAGGTGAATGTGGGAATTAAACTTCCTTATTTTGTATTTTTTTTTCAAATTGCAATATTTTGTACAAAGTGTATGATATCTTTTGTTGATTCATTACATAATAGTTTATAAAAATTTGTTTCTAACCTTTAAAACGCATTATGAAAATTGCAAAATCTCTAAACTACAACAGGAAAAATTGACCTGACAACATTTTTCAGTCACCTTCGAATTTTTCAGGTAATTACATAGGTATTTATTTTAATTCTGTGACAAATAGTGAATGGGATATTTCCAGTATTGCCAATTTTAATAAACATTAGAATGCTAATAATTTTCTTAAGAATGCCACCAGATTTTTTGAATTATTTTTCTGGGGTTTTTTGAAGGGTCCTCCACCACGTAGTGAAGAGCTTTTACGCCATTTTCCGGACACCCTGATATTTTTTATGCGTGCGGAGGACACTTTCTACAGATGTCATGACATGAAAAATTTTCGGGGGGGGGCACTTGCCCCCAGTGCCCCCCCCCCTGGATCCGCCATTGCGGTAGGTACCTCAAAAGTCTCTAATAAGTACCTATACATTACCCTCAAACCGCTAACCAAACCAACTGCTGGTTTTTACAGGTCATATCGAGAAATCCTTCCAATGCAGAGAAGGAATAAAAACATAGCCTTTTTTTCACCACGACTGCGAAGGAAGATGTATGAACTTCTCCAGGAAAAGTTGTATCAAGAATCTCGAAAATCAGGTACTGGCTGGCAAGCCATATATCAGAGATCGAATGATGGCCAAATTTGATAAATGGCGTTGCTAAATAGTGAATAAAGTTCGCCTTACGAGTCTAGCACTATGGAAAGAATGCGGAAAAAAACATTGCAATATTGCCTATTTGACTTTCAATACAATTACAGCGAAAATTCTCTCTTCCATTTGTTTAACTAGAGAGAATTACAGCGATAATTCTCCCATGTTATTGTATATATGGTTGTCATGCTAAGTTTTGATACAAACAAACGGTTCCTGATAGCAACCATTTATTTGTATTGATTGTTAAGATGTTCAAATCGTTTAATACATATTTATTTCCATATTTTTTGCATTCTCATACGTGAAATAATCCTCTAAATACCACTTGAGCTTTAAAATGAACCAGATAATTTTGAAGCTCTCGTGGTATTATCCCCGAAAATACCTTAATATTTATATATGTTACACACCTACATTTATAAGGAAAAAGAAATATTTAAAAACGCTGCGTGCACGCCTATGACAAGGAGCATAAAGCTGGAAATGACGTGAATATATCTCGAAATTTAATTGGATGAATAAATAAAATAACAAATTGACAAATAAACTGAAAATATTCGATACGAGCCCTTTATTCTGGGAGTACCAATATCGTGTTAGTCGTTTCTTGTTTAACGCTAATGAATAATCCCTGTTTGCAATAAAGATAGCTAGCTACTACAATCAACACCTGCCTGCCATTCAACAAGCCGCTTCTGGGCGGTGTTTTGCTATAATCTGCTGTTGCCAAATTGAGTTCAGAAATAAAATTGAAAATGTTAATTAGAGGAGAAAAATATATTATTTAGGGATTCAAGACAAAATTTGGCATTCTCATTGGTGGGGATAGCACAAGGACCCAAAAGAGACAGAGAGATGTTGTCATACGAAAATTTTGTTTATTGTTCGGTCTACCTGTGTTTTGATGTCATTGATTATTCCCCCTTGCCCTTCAGACGTCATAGTGCTAGACTCGTAAGGCGAACTATACCTGAAAAAAAAATTCAAAACCAGACCCACACAGTCACTACTACAAAATTGCCCTCTTCATCAGTTTTACCAAATCCAACTCACCTATAATCTAAATCCATTGCAGTAAATACATAGGCAATATAAACCATCGAATGTAAAACTACAGCTACACATACTAAAGTAAATACATAAATTTGATATTTTCCGAAATCCCCTAGTTTGATCAAAATCGCGTCCAGCGAATTGTCTATAACGTTCGGTTTTTTAGCGGTCATTTTGAATAATCATTAAACATTTATTGAGAAAAAAAAAAAATATGTATATTAATTGAAAACTCTTTTAGGTAGCTATTGAGCCAGACACGAATCTTGACTGGACTTTCAGTCGGCCAATCTCTATATTATATCTTGGATAATTTTATCTTCAAGCGGTCTATAATTTGAACATTATTATTGTCGTCAACACTTGACACAGAAGCGATCCATTATGTAGGTACCTACCTTCTAAAACTTTAATAGTATATTATATAATAAGTGTGGTAACTAGAGGTTTGAGGCGAGGTGTGCAATCTCTAAGGGCGGACCGGGCGGTAATAACCTATTTACCATACGTATTATATACAGTATTTTATCTACAACCGTGCGGTAATAAAGTATCCGAAAGAAGTCTAAAAAATTATAAAAAAAATTGCGTCTGTCGCCTTTGACAGTGGACAAGTAGAATATAGGTGATAGGTAGGTAATTTATCTCTGGTAGGTAATTGGTAATTGAAGGTACGCACTTATGTAGGTAGAACGTGGGGTAATATGGTACTTACCGTACGCAAAATCGTGTAATATACCTTAGTTACCGCACGCTTGTAGATAATAGCTATTTACCTAACAAGTGCGGAAAAAAAATTTCCGCAAGTGTTGGGTACAATATTTTTCCTACAGGCGAAAAAATGTAAAATTTTTCTTTTTTTTTGACATATCAATGCGGTAAATTTTTTTTCCGCACTGACAGCCGTGCGGAAAAACTTTTTCCGCACTGATATGTCAAAAAAAAAATTTTTACCGCACCGTGCGGGAAAACTCATTTTCCGCACGCATATCAGTGCGGAAAATCGATTTTTCCGCACGGCCGTAGGAAAAGATTTTTATGTATGGGGTAATTTGGCCTTGTTTTCTTCTCGCTAGAGGCAGCAGCCTCACTGCGTACTTGTAATTAATTTTGCGCTTTCTTCTCGCTAGATGGGTAGCGTCAATGACTAAATTCGGATGAATGTCGAACAAACTCGATGACCAAGTAGGTATTAATTGAACCACGGGTTTCATCGAGACGAGAAATTTCTTGAAGGAAATTTATAGTCTCGTCTAGATTATCGAGCCAAGAAATCAACATACTCTCGTCTCGATGTCTTTCTCAAAAAAAAAAACCATCTCGATTCGAGCACGAGTGTCGAGAACACAAACTGAATGTAATTGAAAAATATCATGTAACACAATGGGGTTGTATACAAGTGATTTTCAACTACTGCGTAGTGATATACTCGACATATCGTACTATTCAATGTAATCAGTTGCTTCGTAAAAACCACAATACACTGGAATTTTGTTTTTCAAATTTCCTCTTAGCCCCGCCCCTACGTGAAAATAAAAGTTCGTGACGCAAGTATGTACTTAGTTTTTCCAATCTGGTAACACATCACGGTTTTGAGAACGGACAATTTACACTGACATTGACCGTCAAGAACGAAACGTCAAATTTACTACATCAAACAACGTAAACAAGTTACTGTGACAATGTCACATGTCACAGGATTCACACGATACCACACGTCGTTGAACTGTTCAAATTACAGTTTGTTTTTCTCTGACTAATTCTATAGACACAATGCTGGAAAATAATTTAGTATCCCACTATACCATCACCATTTAGCCTATAGAATAATGTCGAGCAGTTTTTTTACTGATTTTCATACATAGTATACTACCTCATTCTGCAAGGGTAGGGTAGGTAGGTAACAATCCCTCTAAAGGTACGGTTTGTTAGGATAGTACGCGACGCACAACTGACAACGTAAACGTCGCGTCGTCATTGGTTTAGGTATGACATACACCCGTTTTCTGATGTCAGCGTCAGAAACCGGGTATACGTCATACCTGAACCAATGACGACGTTTACGTTGTCATTCGTGCGTCGCGTACTATCCTAACAAACCGTATCTTAAAGACGTACCTAATGACGTACACCCGTCTTCTGACGTGAGAAAACGGGTGTACTTCATACCTATGGTCATACCTGAACCAATTGTGCGTCGCGTACTATCCTAACAAACCGTACCTTAAGGTGCACGTGCAGGCACTTTTTTTTTCTTTTCACATTATAACTGTTTTTGAGTTGATGAGTTATAAGTTGGAGAAAAAGAATATAGTACCTACCTATCTATCTATTTAGTAGTTTTACTACATTATGACTGAATTTTTAACTGCACACGTGAATCTATTTTCAAGTACGTGCTCAAAATATAAATGTGATATTTGCGAACGTGTAAGGTGAATAGGAACCACGTAAAATAAATTTATTTTTTATATCCGCATTAAAGTATGAAGGGAAAAGTAAATACCTATTAATTTATTCATTAAACCTACTTTAAGAGGCATATTTATTTTTTATACATATATATTTTGGTATTTTATACTACCTATAGCTAGGTATTTGAATAGTTTTTATTATATTCTGAACGATCAAAATGAGGCACTGTAGTATATTTTTAAATAAATAGTTAGCTTTATTATTAACATTCTTAAATAAAATATTGATGCAATAATTTAATATAATACGTATTTTATAAATATTACCTAAGTAGCCATGTAGGTATACAGTGTGTATCAGCCAAATGGAATAAGTTCGATAATAAATAAATAGGGGCCTTTTCGAAAAAATGCTCGGACATGTCGAGTTTGTTTTTTTTTGCTTAAGATTTTCTCACACTATTTTTTTATACAGGGTGTTCGAAGATTAGCTTTACCGTTATCAACTTCTTTTTTTTAATCGTACCCCCTGTATATTATGACATTTATGGATTCTGCGGAAAATTCTTGATATATTTCATGTACAATGTCCTATACTCATATCTTCATCTGTTTCAGAAATATTGACAGCTGAAAATTGACTTATTTGAATCTTTGACACTGACAGACTGTAAAACCTAAATGGTTAATTTTACAGCAAAACCGTTCGTACATTATTTTCTTAGTTTTTCATAAACTATCATTTGACACCAACTTTGAATTTGATCCATGATTAAAAATTTTGGTTAAATTTATTCTCCGGTTAAATTCAAAGTTGTTGTCAAAAGATAGCTTGTGAAAAGCTACAGACGTGAATGTAAAATCAGTTTTGCTGTAAAATTAACTATTTATATTTTACAGCCTGCAAAAGTTGTGAAAAATAGGTATATGAGATTGTACATGAAATATGTTTTCGCAGAATCCAGAAATGTCATAATATCAGTATCATTTAAAAAAAATAAAGTTGATAACCGTACAGCTGTTCTTGGAACACCCTGTATGAAAAAATTATTGTGAAAAAATCTTAAGCAAAAAAAAAAATCTAGCGTTCTAGCGTTTTTTCGAAAACTTCCACATTTATTTATTATCGAATTTATTCCATTTGGCTGATACTTATTATTGTATACAGGGTGTCCCACGGTGGATGGCGTATTAGACGTTAATGGAAAACTGAAGAGCGGATCATTTTGAAAATTTGGCAACCAAGATAAACAACCCTAATCTACACTTTAAAAATATTTTTGTTTATGCGGTGTTGCCGCTTCTACTCTAAACCAGTGGCAACATCGCTATTTTAAATGAAACATCCTGTATGTGATTGCATATTTGGATTCTACATAAAATTCTGAGCAGATTTCATGTGATATACTCTATACCTAAGTTCAACTGTTTTGGAAATATTGACAGTTGAAAATTGACTTTTTGCAACTTTGACAGGCTCTAAAACCTGAACGGTTAATTTTAGAGGAAAACCGATTTTACATTCCTATGTTAGATTATTTTTATAAACTATCATTTGACACCAACTTTGAATTTAATCGGAGATTAAATTTAATTGGAATTTTCAATCATGGATTAAATTTAAAGTTGGTGTCAAATGATAGTTTATAAAAATTAAGACAGAAATGTGAAATCGGTTTTCCTCTAAAATTAACCGTTCAGGTTTTACAGCCTGTCAAAGTTGCAAAAAGTCAATTTTCAACTGTCAATATTTCCAAAATGGTTGAACTTAGATATAGGGTGTATCACATGAAATCTGCTCAGAATTTTACGTAGAATCCAAATATGCAATCACATACAGGGTGTTTCATTTAAAATAGCGATGTTGCCACTGGTTGAGAGTAGAAGCGGCAACACCGCATAAACAAAAATATTTTTAAAGTGTAGATTATGGTCGTTCATCCCGGTTGCCAAATTTTCGAAATGATCTGCTTTTTAGTTCTCCATAAACGTCTGATACGCCATCCACCGTGGGGCACCCTGTATACCTACATAAAAAAATATCACAGGATTTCCAGGTTTCATATTTAATACTTCTCTAAAATATATGGTTTTTCTGGTACTTCTAATCGAGAATCAACAATCTTGAGAGCTTTACCAATATCTTCAGCTTCTTTAACAGTATCCGGCAGTTTTTTGTGTAAAGTTTCAGGAAATAGAAGAGTCAGAACACCAGCTATCAAAGACATTCCGGCAAAGCTAAGTAGAGGTAGAGGGCCCCAAAGTTTTGCCTAAAAAATAATATTAGGTGAATTAAATTGGGTTTTATTCAGTATCAATCTACCAATAATGGAGTCTGTGGGGATATCATTGATCCGCATCTGCCAAATGTCGAACAAGTCCCCATAAACGAGTTTCTTAAATTAGTTGGGAACATTTCACTAGTGATAACGTAGAGTATTGTGAACGAGGCTGTGGCTCCAAATTTTCCGATAAGGTAAACTGAGAGGCTACCCCACCTTGAAGCTTATAACAATTATAAGTTTTAAGATGCACGTTTCGTCAAATAATACTTACTGTTGGGAATGAAAATAAATGACAAGCAAGCAGCTCCAGTAAGCAAATAACTGATGAAAAGTGTCCTTTTTCGTCCGTATTTTTCGACAACAAAATTACAGGCGAAATATGCTGGGATCTCAACTAAAGCTGAAAATAACATTTCGGCTAAGTACATTTTTGATACAAGGTGGTTTTGAAATGACTCTCCAAGGGTTTGAAAATGTGAGAATGTCTAGAAAAATATTCAGCAGACCCTTTGATTAGTGTTACAGTGATGCAGTTTTTTGAGTTTATAAAATTCAAATCCACCCTCTTTTATGTAAGTACTTACATGTCAGTATAAAATCTAAATAGTTATTTCCAGCCACTAGAGACACTGAGTTAAGTGTCAAGCCGTAAAACAGAAATGTGCAAGTGACCCAACAAATGCAGCATGCGATAAGTCTTAGCATTAATGTTCTGGATTTGATTGCTTCCATAAATAAGGAATTCGACTTTCCCAAACTTTTCCCGGGTCCATTGATTTCTAAATTTTTGAAGATGTTTTGAAGATAGTTAGGTGCAAGAAATATTTTCTTGTTACCTGCAACCACCACATCCAAAGTCTCCAATTCCTTGTCGGAAATTTCTTTGCCGTTAACTTTCGCCAATTTTCTCAATGTCTTTTTACATTCTGCAATGCGGCCTTTACTCAGATTCCATCTCAATGATTCTGGTATCAGCCACAAGTAAGATACAAGTAAAATTGATGGTGCATAGGATATTAAAATCAATGGCCTAAAAGATAAATACATTTTAAATAATAATTTATCCTGAATTTGAAATGTAAAAAGCTTACTTACTTCCAAGATTTTGTGTTCCAAGCAGCAATAGCTATCAATATTTCTCCAATTGCGTAGCAGGAACTTATTAGTGTACCTGTTAAAATTCGCTTTTTTGGACCTACTAGTTCAACCCCTAAAAATTTTTTTGGAATTATTATATATAAATAATATGAATTGTAATTATTTTATTTATTTTATACTTATAAAGGAAACCAGAAAATATTGGTAAAACCCCGAATTTCCCCAAGCCCCATAGTAAAGTGGACCTAATTTGCAAAATGATTCTGTTTGCAGCAGTTTCGAGAATTCAAGTTATAAACTGTTCGGGAAAAAAATAACATTCCTATACAATAGCCGCGATCTAATTAAAAATCCAATTTTATTCCCATAGTTAATCATAAGCTATTATTTTCAATAATAGTAATATAGGTAGGTAGGTAATTTACCTAATACAAACCCACAAATATAACTTCCGCTACCAAAGGCTGCGTCTAAAAATTCGAATACCAAAAACAGTTCGTATGTGGGCATAAAGGTTCTTAAACAGCCACAAATTCCACACAGTATTAAACCCCAGACCAGAACAACTTTTCTTCCATACCTGAAAGTAATTTAGTTTTTTTTTTTTATAACGATAAAATTGGATTTAGAAAATAGTTACTTGTCTGATATAAATCCAGAAGTCATCAGGCCAAAAAATTGGCCGATGTTATTAATAGTTCCAACCATTGTTAATTTCCATAGATTATTGTCACATTGAAGATTGTACTGAAATAAGTAGATTTTTAATGTAAATGTTCTAGGATAGGATAGAGCTATTTACCTCCTTCAAAATTGTATGCTCCACTCCACTATAAACAAAATCCTCACAACGTACCACAATGTCCATATTGAAGTCTCCCAATGTGCAATTATTTAATCCAGTATCGTTTTTGAATGGCACGTACCTCGAACACTTATCGGGGCGATGGTTTGTATATGGGATTGAGTTTCCTAGCCAGGGTTGTTGGTATTCTGGATTTATTGGAGAGTCGCATTCTGGAATTTTACACCTATAAAAAGAATGAGTAGGGGAAAGTGAGTAACATTGAGACACGGGTAACAGTGAGACATTCAAAATATTAGCTATTTCTTCACTTTTTAAATAGGTGTCGCCGCAATTAGACATTAACACGTTCGCGGACAGTACTGCTAAAGCCGCCATATTCTTCTCCCTTGCCTGGGACATGACGTCGATAGCAGTCACCCCAATTTTCTTCTATAAACAAATAACGGATCTAGCCGTCTTTGATCCCATATATATATGCACTCAAATGAAGAATTTTCCTAGCATTCTAAATATTTTTGGAAAATTTTAGTTCAATATTTGAATAAACTAGCGATTGTGTGGTACTGAATTGTTCGTTAGAAAATGCTCTCTCGGAATATGCTAATGAGCCATACCCTTTCCATTGGAAAAAATTGATAGAATTCCAAAAATGCGCTTCTACTATTTTTAAATGAGCCTGTTGAGGATATAAAATACAAAATAAGATGAAAACAAATTTTCCCAGGTTTCTTGGAGCAAAATTAAGCATTTTAACTAATTCATGGCGCTCTAGATTAGAAAGTAAAAATTTAAATAACTTGGAGATGAAATGTCAAAAAGTGACAAATGAGGTGTCATTGTACTCGTAATGTAGTTTTCTATTGAAATAAGGGAAAATATACCTGGCGTCTCATTTAAAATAAGAAAGTTACGGTCACTTCCGGTCAAACCGGAAGTGATAATAAATAATTGAATACGTCAAATGATGCACATCCGGGTCATAAATAAACACACCAAATTTCATTTGTTTATTTGGAAAAATAAAAAAGTTATAAGGGTGAGCGGGTTTTGAAAAACACCCGGTATATAAAAAAAAACTTTTTAATACATAAAAAAATAATAATAAGTTATAAATACCAGATGTGCCAGTCATTGACCAATTCGAAAAACGAGTGTGGTAGTCATTGACCAATAAGAGATCCTGTAATTGTCCACCAAAAATGCTTATAATTTATATTTTAATACAAAAATAAAACAATGGCATATTTGAACATTTATTGAAAACTAAACTAAAATTACACGTATTTTCCCTGGAAATTATAAACACTACAAACTTATTGCGTTTTTGAGATCCTTGTTGGAATATGCACATTCCAAGCAGGTTAGAAGGCGCCATAATTTCTGCAAAAAAAAATATATGTTACTGTAAATGCCCGAAATTCCGTAAAACCTAGGATAAGCGCGCTAAACCTAGGATTCACCAAAAGCAAGTAGAAGCCCGAAAACTAGTTATTTTGCTTCCATTTCGGACTTTTACCGGACACAAACAGTAAATCTTAGGATAAACCACACCGCATTGGTAAAAGTACGAATACCACTGATACGTTACAGAAATCGATATCCTGAATCGATAATCGTTAAAATTTCAATGCCTAAAAATAAGATACTTTATAAATGAAACAAAAAGTCACACCAAAACACTTTTTATTTTAATATTCTTAAATGAAAACAGAAATCATAGTGGCCTTAAACGGGATATTCCGGGATATTAAAAAAAAAAAACATTAATTCAGGTATCTACTAATATTGCAAAAAGTAGGTATAGTATTTCCAAACTCAATTGGAACAAGGTATCAACTGGTAGCTGACTGGTCATTGAAAATTTCACTAAGAAATGTACTGCCACTAGTCAGCCACCAGTTATGATTTATGTTCACCTTGTTCCAATTGACTTTGGAAAAACTATACTCAAATATTAAAAGAAAAAATACTTTTATTTATTAAACGAAATAAATGATTTAAAATGTCCACTAATAAAAATATTTATTCATCGGTACAGGGAAAACTTCTATGGCATTGAAAAACATCTTTTGGTGGAACATTTTCGAATGCAATTGCATTTCTTAAATCCTTGGCCACTATACAGGGTGTATATTTTAAGTGATACCGCTATTGCTATATCCGAAACGGTAAGAGCTACAGGGTCGGTTAAATTAGAAAAAAGTTGCCTTTTTTGATGCCCATTTAAGACTCGTTTACAGTGTTGCCAAATTTCTTTTAGTTTATGAAATACAGGGTGATTTCTAAGAAACGTCCAAAAATATTTCATCATTTATTTCGAAAACCATTGATTTTTGAGACACAATTTAAATTTGAACGTTTTATAATTTTTTTCGCTCTAGAACATGGCATCTTTAAATTTTAAATCCGACGTTTCGTGATCGAGATACCATCCTCAACTTAATTTTTTTAAATACGGACCTGGATGTTTTATGTCATTTTTAGGAAACGTCCTTAATTCTCTTTCCAAAAATGACATAAAAAATCCAGGTCCGTATTTAAAAAAATGAAGTTGATGATGGTATCTCGATCACGAAACGTCGGATTTGAAATTTGAAGATGCCATGTTGTAAAGCGAAAAAAATCATAAAACTCTCAAATTTAAATTGTGTCCCGAATATCAATAGTTTTCAAAATAATTGACAAAATAATTTTAGGCCTTTTTTATAAATCGCCCTGTATTTCATAAACTAAAAGGACTTTGGCAACACAAGTCTTGAATGAGCATCAAAAAAGGCAACTTTTTTCTAATTTAACCGACCTTGTAGCTCTTACCGTTTCGGATATAGCCATAGTGGTATCACTTAAAATATACACCCTGTATAACGACAATTTTCGCACTACACTTCTTACGCTAATTTCTTGAGATGGAACATCTCTAGGACTCAAGAAATTTTCTTAACGATTATCGTTTCACGATATCGATTTCTATAACGTATCAGTGGTATTCGTACTTTTACCAATTCGGTGTGGTAAATCCTAAGATATGCTGTTTGTGTTCGGTATAAGTCCGAAATAAAAGCAAAATAACTAGTTTTCGGGCATTTATTACTTGCTTATGGTAAATCCTAGGTTTAGCGCGCTTATCCTGGGTTTCACCGAATTTCGGGCATTTACAGTAACATATACAGGGTGTCCCAGGGAAAACAGTCCACCCCGATTTATTGGATTTGGGATGAGAATCTGGGAAAACGCTCAGACACGTCGATGTTTGATTTGAGGGGGAACTATTATTCAGTTTTTTTCATCCCTGTAGCTCCAACCCCCTAGCTAGGGAAAGAACAACCCCCCAAATTTGAATAGGGAATAGGGGTCGTGTCATACCTTTTTTTTAAGGTCTCATTGAGTTCTTTATGGCCCTAGAATTTCATCTTATTATTTTCATCCGTAACGAAATGACAGCTTGTCAAAATCTTGGAAATGGACTATGTTTTAGTAGGAGTAAAAGCGGTACTTACCTCCCTTAATTAAAATACGAGTAAAAACACCTACAATTTACAATTCTCGTGTACACATCATTAATAATAATGAGAAAAAACTTCATTTCAAGTATTTTTATTAGGAGAGGTAAGTATCGCTTTTGCTCCCACTAAAACTAATAGTCCATTTCCAAGATTTTGACAAGCTGTCATTTCGTTACGGATGAAAATAATGAAATGAAATTTCAGGGCTATAAAGAACTCGATGAGACCTTTAAAAAGAGGTATGACACGACCCCTATTCCCTATTCAAATTTGGAGGGTTGTTCTCCTCATACCTAGGGGGTTGGAGCTACGGGGATGAAAAAACCTGCAAAATAGTTCCCCCTCAAATCAAACATGGACGTGTCCGAGCGTTTTCCCAGATTCTCATCCCAAACCCAATAAATCGGGGTGGACTGTTTTCCCTGGGACTGGGGTTTTTGAAAACCTAGTAAATGACCTAAATATGTTCTAGTAATTGACTGGCGAGTTTATTATACAATATGAATATGCTGAACTTATAAATCAATATGGAAAAGTCAATAGCATATTTTAGGCTCTGTATGTCTTTTATTTATAATAGTAATTACAAATATTTCAATTTAAGCTAGCTAGTCTTTGAACACATAAACTACTAGTATACTGGCTGACCCTCTGCAACATCTATTAAATTTGATTCTGGCTAGTTCTTTCCCATCGACATGAAAGGTTGCAGAAATTATTCCTGTGTAAAAAAGAGGCGATTATTCTGTAGTCAATAATTATAGGCCAGTGTCTCTTCTTTGTAAATTTTCCAAGCTCTTCGAAATTATTGTTCACAATAGACTGTTCCCATCCTTCAGGGGGTCGCTTTCGAATGATCAGCATGGCTTTATTGATGGTAGTAGGTCATGTGTGACAAACCTGACTGCCTTTCGGAACTTATAACTCTGACACGTTGACGTGGTCTACACAGATTTCCAGAAGGCTTTTTATCGAATCGATCATCACTTGTTGTTGTACTACTGGAGCAGTATGGCTTGTCTGGCGGCCTCGTCAGCCTGTTTTGGTCCTATTTATGTGTCAGGCCTCCGTCAGTTTGTTGACCATTAGGGCTTTAGATCGCCGATGTTTGTCCCTACACCAGATGTACCTCAAGGATCCAACCTGGGTCCTCTACTATTTAACATATTTATTGACGACCTTATTGTTGCAATCACATGTAACAAGTTGGCTCATCCTGATGACCTGAAGGTTTTTTTGCCAATAGCCTCTGATGACGATTGTATGATTTTGCAAACTAGTATAGATCTTTTTGGTGATTGGTGTACTCGCAACAGATTATACCTCAACATTGCCAAATGTAACACTGTGAGCTTCCAGAGAATGAAGAATCCAGCCATTTTTGAATATTCAATTGTCGACGCCTCTCTGGCCAAGCTTGAGTCGACTCATGATCTTTGTGTGATTTTTGATTGTCAGCTAACGTTTACTCCACAGATCGAGCATATTTGTACCGCATCATTTCAAAAGCTGGGTTTCATTATACGAAACAGTTAACATTTCACACAGCAATCTACTATAAAGCTTCTCTATTTCACTTCTGTTTGATCCAAGTTGGATTACGCTTATTTAATCTGGAATAATAATAATAATGCTTTATTGTCAAAAAAATTATAACATAATTTGTAGACAAAGCCTTAAAGTTAAAAATATATGTTATATACATCTGCATGTATACAAA